GCACCTCTCGCACGTTCTGTTAGCCCTATTTGAGCTCACCATCGTGCGCGCGACGTGGGTGTGTGCTTTCGCCATCGCCTTGCCATTTATGGTCTTTGTCTGCATGTGGCCATGGCCGGTCGGGGACGCGCTTGTCCTTTGTGTCTGAGCACATGCCTTCTCGGTCACGCCGAGCACGTCCTGCCAAGGCGAGGCTGTGCTGTGCCACCTACCGGCCCGTCTCTCTCTTTATCTGCTGTCGCCGTCGGAGTCGCGCCCCACGCAATTGACCAACGAGTAGTCATCTCCTTTCAATTCTACGCGCCTATGTTTTTGCCATCAAGTCCTCTTACTGCCCGATCCCACCCCGCCTTGAATGGCGTCCGATCAAGCTCCAATTTGGCGTATTTCCCACCGCCATGCCGATAAGGCCGCGTCCAGCCATGGAGAGGGCAGCCCTCCCACCGTCCCTCCCGAGCAAATTCACCTGCACCACTAGTTTCGCCTTGCCTCCCTCTCCATCTTGCACACGCCAGTGAAACCGCTACCGCCTCCCGTTGTCGTCGCTGACGCGACCGCGCCACCGTGGTGCGCTGTCGCTTGGCTTGGCTATCCTCCACCCCAACCGTCACCTCGGCTAGGTCCGCGGTAGTCTACTAATGCTCCCTCGCTAGCCAGTTAGGTTCTTAGGTGCTCTAGATCACCGTAACGTGCCATCACGGATGGCCGTGCGTCCATGCAGCTGCTTCAAAGAGGTCCGCCGCCGCGCTGTTGCTTTGCTGGTGTAGGCGGTTGGACCAGAAGTTGAAGGTCGGCCCGACCGACGCCGCCATGACCTCGCTCTGGTACAAAGACGGTCACATTGCACGCCACGTCATCAAGGCCAGCAGTCTACTGAAATCATTGGGGCGCAGGGGTGAATTAGGGAAAAGTCAGGGGTTAAGTGAGAATGTCTGAGAGAGAAGAGAAAATAGTGTTAGTCCTTAGTTATAAATTGGGAGGAGTTCGAGGTCTCTTTTTGCAAAATCACCAACGCACGCGGGACTCCCCCGCCGTGGGCCGCCTTGCGAGCGGGCCATCCTCGCGTGGGCTGCGCCAGCGCACGCGCTGTGTCGCGTGGGCCACGCGTTTGGGCCATACGGGAGATTTAGTTTTCTTTTTCATAATGAATTAGCAATGGTTTTCTAATTAAATTTTGGAGCTGATCTTTGTTAAATCATATAAAATCATGTAGGTGTTTAAAAATTATGAAACAAATTTTGTTAGGTTCCTAAAATTGTGCTCTATCGGTTGGTGTATTTAGTTCATGTTTATACGTGTTGACATTATGAGCTATTAAATCATTTGAGGATGCTTAATAATATTAAGTTAATTATTGTAGGAATTTTTGTAGTAAATTGGTGATAGCTTTAGTCCTGAAAATTTTATAGTAGCTTCATTGTATTATTATGTGCTCACTGTAATTTTTGTATCCTTAGAATAGACTAAGCATTAGGGTAGTTAAATGCTCTTTGTTTCAATATACATTAAATCATTAGTAGAAATAAAGATATACCCTTAAATTGCAAAACTGAGTGTTTGTTAGTTGAATCAACACCTTGCTTAATGAAGATGATAGTTAGCTTAGTATCTTAGTCATTAGAGCTAGTTTAGTAGCTTGGTATGCGCATTCTTAGTTTAAGAGTTGCTGTTGCCTGAATGCTAAGTGTTGCATCATCATCGCATGCATGTAGAGAACGAGTTGGCGGAGATCATAACCACCGGCGATCATGAGTTCGAGGAGATCGTCGAGAAGTACGAGGAATAGATTCTTGTGCAGGAGGAGGTCCCGGAGCCGCCACCGATTGACTCAGCTGACACCGCGCCTGCCAAAGGCAAGCCCTGGTGCATAACCTCTATTTTATAATTCATCATATATATATATATGTGTTGTGTATTTACGTTACAAGAATTTTATGAAAACCACATACATAGATACACCTGTCCTAAGAATGAATTCATCTTTCTAATGTCATGTTACTTTTCATTATAATTTTGTTCCTCCTAGATTTTTATAATATCTAAGAACCATATTGTGGAATATGGATATACCACATATTACCAATTTATACCAAGTTACATTCCGAAAGTTATTACCAATGTTTAGATTCATTTCAAAACATTTTTTCCCCTTATCATGTTTTTAGATTTTTAAATTGCCCTAGATGTTCATATGCTATTTCAATTGAAAACATTGCTCGAAGAAAGAAATCATTGGTTTACATGGAAGATTTTACAAGTACAAATATATAAAGCAAATATGTATTAAAACCTAATTTAGGCCATCTCCGGTGCTGGAATGAAACGGACTTATAGTCCTATTTGAACTTCGATGAACTGAATCATGTTGCTAGAGTAGGTGAAGCTTTGGAGGAGAGAGAAGAAAATGAACCTTATTTAAGAGTTTGTGGCGATTAAACAAATGAATCAGAGCAATATTTGGTGAGTGAGACTTATCCCTTTTTATTTATAGCCATTGGTGATCTAGTCATATATGTTAGAAGTTCTTTCTTCTTATTTGTTTACATTTGGCCCCTTCTTTTAACCTTCAATGCCTAAAACCTGTAGGAAGAGGCTTAGGAGAGGCTCCATACTTGAGGTGGTGATAGAAGGGGCTCAAGCCTCAAGCAACCTAGTGCTATGTCCACCACTGTTCATATCTGTGGAACCCTACAACAGCTTCGCCCAACAGATAGCAGTGAGGCGATACAAAGAATTTATACATAGACAACTTTGTTCGTGTGAGTCGATTCACCACTAATAGTGCTTCTAGAAGTAGCTGTTTTAACTAAAGTAACTACCACATGTTGTCTTCATCTCACCGTAACTGCCACGTGTTGTCTTCGCCTCATCTCTTACTACTACAGTCTTACTCTCTTACAAGGCCTTTGTTTGACTGATTTGCTTTGTTTTCTTCTGCTAAAAATAGCGCCGCGTCAGCAAGCAGTTCCGATCATGCTAAATTTGTCGATCTTATGGTGCCACCATCTTTTGATTCTACCTTGACAGTCTTAGCTATTTGGCTCGCCCCTGGAGGCTAGTGGCAGCCAAACTAGGCTCCCGCTCTCCTTGCCATGTGAATTTTTCTATTGATGAATCTGCATGTTGTCATGTATGTAGGCACACATTTTCATCTCCACATTAGTTGTCTATTCCTTGATCTTAGCAATTGTAAAAGCTTTTTTAATACTTTGTCTTTGTGTAACAATTGAACTGCTTCTCCTCGATTCTACCTCACTCTCCGCCACTGCCCTTCAGCACCACAACCATCACCACCGCTATGCTGCCCCTGCCCTCCTCTCCCGTTCTGTACACAAGCCGGAGTGACAAGAAGCACCCCCTCTGTGAAACAGAGTACCTCTAAACAGAGTGCCTCGCGGTACCATTTGCTTTAGCACAAGGGACGAGAGAACACGTCAGCCTAGCCAAATCGCAGGACGCGAAAGCAAAAGCAAGCCTGTCGGACACGCCCTGATCAGTCTTCTTACCACACCGGCCCCGCCTTGATCTCACGTGGCGTCTTTTCTTACACCGAAACAAACCAATGCAGTTTACCCTTTCCAGCTCCGCAGCTGGCGTTCGGATCTCGCGTCGCCCAACAAACTCCACGCCCAATTCAGCGAGCAAGCGAGCGAGCGAGCGAGCGGCCCTCGTCGAGCCCATCCATCCAGCCATCCATGACGCGGGCGCTGGGCGCACGCGGACGGGACGGGACGGGACCTCAGCCGAAGCCAAAACCGGCCTGCTTCCTCACACCTCGCGCTGGGGAGACTGACTAGCGTCGCGCCCTCCCTCCCTTCCCTATAAACCACCACCCTTCTCCACCCACAGCTCCCTCTTCCATTCCCTCCCCCGTCGTCTCGCCACTCGCTACACCCCAAAAACCTCACGCGCTCTCGACGCCTCGTCGCCACGCCGGCGAGAGGGGCGCGCCCACCCCCCTGCCTATATAACGACGCCGGCCGGAGCTGAGGTACCTTACCCGTCCCTTATTCGCTCGCCCAGATCTGCCTCTGTTCCACCGCCGCGTCGGGCGCGATCCCGCCGAGGCCCAGGTTAGCTCCTGCTCCTTGATCCGATGCGCACGTTTGGTTTCGTGGCGGCTTGGGTGCGTTACCTCGCAGATCTGGGCGTTTAGGACCACGTCTCACCCCGATCTATGCGTTGTGGGCTGTGTCCCGCGGTTGATTCGACGCTGTGCAGCCTGCTCTCGTCGGGGTCCGCTCGCCGGGGTCGGAATTCAACGACATCGCGCGTGTTCGTGTTGTGCCGGTGTCAGATCTGCGCATGCGTGTACGGTCGCAGCTCTGCATGGCTGTTCCTGCTGCTCGGCGCAGAGGTGTGGACTTTGGATTAGATTTAGCACTTTTGGATTTGGATTTGGATTTACGCCATCTGTGCGCATTGCTGAGCTGCTCTGCCCGCGCTTTTGCGCTGTCGTAGAAAGGTGTCTGGGTTTGCGTGACGCCGTGACCCCTGGGGCGGGTAGTTGGACTCTTGCGCGTATTCGGGGCTAGGTGTGGGCCAAATCTTTCGTGAGCAATTTTTTCCATGTTTCCCTTTAGAGAAACCTGCTTGTGTAGGATAAAAGCAACATGTCATGGCCTGTCTACCTGTGTGCACTTTACACTGATGATATTTCAGTTTCCATTTCGATATGTGAAACAGCTCCTCCGGTGATGGTTTTAATTGTTTGACAAGTGGAGTGACTGGTGTTGTCTGACCATAAATATGGTTAGCGGAATTGTTTTTTTTTGTTTGTATTCAAAGGGAAGCATTTCGTGTGAAAACTGAGATTGTTCCACTTAAGTGTCTCATGTATTTTCCATTTTCGTCATTTTAACTACCTATGGAAGATAAAAATGCAAATATTGGTAAAATGCGAGTTGCCGAATATGACAGGAAACAAGACTTAGTTAGGTTACACTATCTAATAATAAATGACCGTCTTTCCTTTTGATTTCAGGGTGTAAGCTGGTATCATGGCGTCGAACACAGGAGCGTCAGGATGGTTCAGGGGTAAGGTGAAGGCTGTGACATCTGGGGATTGTCTACTAATCATTGGGAGCTCAAAGGCTGAGATCCCACCTGAGAAATCCATCACCCTGTCCTACCTTATGGCCCCAAGGCTGGTAAGATCAATCTGCACTTGGTGAATTTCCTTGTCGGTAATGCACAATATTCGTTGCCTTTTCACTTACTCTCAGTTTCCATTTGTTTCATGAATCTGGTGGAAGTCATTGGGTTGCTCTAGACAAACTAGGTTACTAGGTTTTGAGGTTATGCTTGAGGACTAATGAATGTGGGCAATTCTCAAATTGTTTTTTGGTTGCATTTTGTTATGAAAATTTTCTCTTGGAACTATGTACTCAGTATCAATTGTGGCTTCTTGATATTCTACTCATTTCTCTAGTTTTCATTTTTTGCTTGTTTATTCATGGTGTTCTAGGCTCGCCGTGGTGGAGTTGATGAGCCCTTTGCATGGGAAAGCAGAGAGTTTCTGAGAAAACTTTGTATAGGGAAGGTACTACATTTGAAAGCTCTCATACCATTCATTGTATTCTTCTTTTTTTTTTGGACAATGCAAAATTATAATCTGCTGTTACAGGAGGTCACATTCAGAGTGGATTATACAGCCCCTAATATTGGACGAGAATTTGGAACTGTTTATCTAGGCGACAAGAATGTTGCATACTCAGTAGTTTCTTCTGGATGGGCAAGGGTAAGAACCATCTTACTTTCATATTTGAGTATCTTTATCATATTTTACAGATGCGTTACTGTATTGTAGTAAACTAGATGCGTTATTGATTTATTCTTCTATTTGCTTAATCAGGTAAAGGAGCAAGGCCCCAAGGGGGGCGAACAAAACCCTTACCTTGCAGAGCTGTTGAGGTTGGAGGAAGTTGCCAAACAACAGGGTGTTGGTCGTTGGAGCAAGGTTAGCAATTTATCATCTCTTGTGATCAACTCATTTTGTATTGCATGAGATATGATTTTCTTGATTTTGCTGTTGTATGCTTCTCATCTATATTCAGGAACCTGGTGCTGCTGAAGAGTCAATAAGAGATCTTCCACCATCTGCAATTGGTGAAGCAAGTGGTTTTGATGCGAAGGGTTTTGCGGTTGCAAATAAAGGCAAGAGTTTGGAGGCCATTGTTGAACAAGTTCGCGATGGCAGTACTGTTCGTGTGTATTTACTCCCTAGTTTCCAGTTTGTGCAGATATATGTTGCTGGAGTACAGGCAAGCTACTCATAATTTGGTGTTGTTTTCTTTATGTTTATACGAAGTCAATATTAATTAGAAATAAATCTAGGCTCCATCAATGGGGAGACGCCCATCGGCACCTACTGTAATTGCTGAAACTGATGATACTGCTAATGGCGTGAACGGTGAAGATTCTGAGGGAACACCTGCGCAACTGACTACAGCACAAAGACTTGTTGCTTCTGCAGCTTCTGCTGAAATTCCACCAGATAGGTATGGAAGAGAAGCCAAGCACTTCACAGAGACTAGAGTTCTCAACAGAGATGTAAGCTATCTCTTATTCTGATTTTCCTCTATTGCCTTGGCATGAATAATTTGTTTTTGTTACTTGGCCTAACTTTCCCTTATAAAAAAAATCCTAGGTGCGTATTGTGGTGGAAGGCACAGACAGCTTTAGTAATATAATTGGTTCTGTGTATTACCCTGATGGAGAGACTGCAAAGGACTTGGCCCTTGAGCTTGTCGAAAATGTATGGCCATATAGTTTCTTTTGACTATGCATGCTATCAGGCATCATGAAGTAACTAAATTAAACTGTTAAATATGATTGCTTTCACATTCTTAAATTGTTAAATCTTATTGCATTAAAAATTTACATGCCAACCTTTGTGCTACAGGGGCTTGCAAAGTATGTTGAGTGGAGTGCTAATATGCTTGATGTTGAAGTAAAAATAAAGCTGAAGAACGCAGAACTTCAGGCTAAAAAGGATCAATTGAGAATCTGGACAGGGTTTAAGCCACCGGTGACAAACTCGAAGCCCATTCATGACCAGAAATTTACTGGAAAAGTGTGTCTTATGTTCTCAGATGATAGTGTGTATTCATCATAATTCACATAATTGTTTGATAGTAACTATTTTTTTTTTCATGTTGATCTCTTTACAGGTCGTAGAGGTTGTAAGTGGGGATTGTATTATTGTGGCTGATGATGCTACTCCATATGGCAGTCCTTCAGCTGAACGTCGGGTTAATCTGTCAAGCATTAGGGCTCCTAAGTTGGGCAATGCTCGTACAGATGTGAAGCCTGAACCTTTTGGTCGTGAATCTAAGGAGTTCTTGCGCACGAGGTTGATTGGCAAGCAAGTATGTAGATGGGGCTTGTGACAATCTGGCTGAAGTTTTTAATTCATCATAAACAGTTATTCTTAGTAGAAAATAGATTGAGTTTCTCCCTATTTTTTCATTTTTAGGTGGCTGTTGAAATGGAATATTCTCGAAGGATCAGCACTGTGGATGGACAGAGTGCTGCTCCAACAGCAAACATGGCTGATACGAGAGTTCTAGATTATGGTTCAGTTTTTCTGGGTTCACCATCACATACTGATGGAGATGACATATCTTCTGCTCCGAGCTCTGCCAGCCAGCCTGGAGTTAATGTTGCTGAGCTTTTGCTCTCACGAGGCTTTGCTAAAACATCTAAACACAGGGATTATGAGGAAAGGTCACACTATTATGATGCTTTGTTAGCAGCTGAATCACGGGCTGAGAAAGCAAAGAAAGGAGTGCATTCTCTAAAAGAATCTCCTGTGATGCATATAACAGATTTAACAACTGTAAGTGATGTTCTTTTATTCCATCAGTTCGATTTTGATATTTTCTGCATCATTCATTAACCTATTAGTGTGGTCCTTGTATGGATAGGTATCTGCAAAGAAGGCCAAAGATTTCCTTCCATTCTTGCAGCGGAACAGAAGGCATTCGGCCATCGTTGAATATGTTTTTAGTGGCCATCGGTTCAAACTAACAATTCCTAAGGAGACTTGCAGTATTGCCTTCTCATTATCTGGTGTTCGGTGTCCTGGTAAAGGCGAGCCATACTCAGATGAAGCTATTGCTTTGATGAGGAGAAGGATACTACAACGTGATGTGGAGGTACAACTTTAGCTGTCTCTTTTGGTTCTTCCATTTCCCCATTTTTAGTTTCTGAAGGATGTAAGTGGCACGCAGATAGAGGTTGAAGCAGTTGATAGGACAGGAACATTCATAGGTTCGTTGTGGGAGTCCAAGACCAACATGGGCTCTGTACTTCTGGAAGCTGGGCTCGCCAAGCTGAGTTCATTTGGCTTGGATAGGATCACAGATGCTTATGTCCTAACAAGAGCTGAACAGTCTGCAAAGCAACAAAAGATTAAGGTAACCTTTCATTTTTCTCCCTGAACTGTAAAAAAGGGAAAAACAATTACTGACACTTAACTTTTCAAGATATGGGAGAACTATGTCGAGGGTGAAAATGCTTCCAATGGATCCACACCTGAATCTAAACAAAAGGAAATTCTCAAGGTTTGTTCACGAAGGATATTTTTGAAGCACACTCCATTTATTTGGGTTGAATTAACTTCTTGACTGACTATTTAGGTTGTCGTCACGGAAGTTCTTGGTGGTGGGAAGTTTTATGTTCAGACAGTGGGTGACCAGAGGGTGGCTTCAATTCAACAGCAGCTTGCATCTTTGAAACTTAAAGATGCGCCAGTCATTGGTGCTTTTAATCCTGTGAAGGGAGAGATAGTCCTCGCACAATTTAGCCTTGACAACTCCTGGAACAGAGCTATGGTATGTGTACAGTTACTAAATGTGTATGATGAAGTCAACTAATCTTTATGGGCCAAAGTCAATAGTTGAATTCTGTCTTACTAGCTTATACCCTAGGGCTCTATACTGAAATTTCTTCTCCTATGGCCACTGTAAGTTTGATGATTCTAAAATAACCCATACCAGTTATTTTGGTTGTTAGCACCTTGATGAGGGCGTTCTGTCTCATCTTTTCAAGTTTTTATGGAAACTACATCAGAACTTTACACATTAGGACTAGGCAAGCCTTCTCATGGTATCTAATAAATATGGGACCAATAATAAACCCCTCTGTTGGTTCTCATAATTTCCTGTTTCATAAAGAACTCCCTTGTGGCACTGCACACCCAATTTGTCTAACAACAGGTGTTTGCCTATGTGGTCGTTGATGAATTACAACATTATTCGTTTTTAGCAACAGAATGCAAGTGAACATGAGATGAATAGTATGGATAGAGAAAGCTAACTTTCAATATTTATTTGGTTCAGTGTGCCATGTAAATTAGTTAATATATTGTCACTGGTATTAGAAATCGATTACTTGCACATTTGCAGGATGTCCTGACCAAAGTCATGTTTATGTCTGAATTTTCTTCACCCTGTTCGCTTATGCTGATTTGTTGTGAGAGAAAAACACTGTTCGTTAGCTGAAAAGTAGTTCAAGCGAATCACAACATAGTTTTATACTTTATGCTCGAATTGCCATTATTAGCTCCTGGTCATTCTAGAAATATTATTATTAAGTCTTCATGTGGTTTGTGCAGATTGTTAATGGACCTCGTTCTGTAGAATCTCCGAACGACAAGTTTGAAGTATTCTATATTGACTATGGCAACCAAGAGGTGGTTCCCTACAGTCGTCTACGACCTGTTGACCCATCTGTTTCCTCGTCTCCTGCTCTTGCTCAGCTATGCAGCCTTGCTTTCATAAAAGTGCCCAGTGTTGATGATGACTTTGGTCAGGAAGCAGCAGAGTATCTAAGCGAATGTTTGCTCAGTAGCTCAAAGCAATTTCGGGCAATGATCGAAGAACGTGATGCATCTGGGGGCAAATCAAAAGGACAAGGAACTGGAAATGTTCTCATTGTTACTCTTGTTGATGCCGAGACAGAAAGTAGCATAAATGCTACCATGCTTGAGGTTTGTGCTACTGACTGCTTTGATGCTGACAGATACGACTGCTTGCTAGTACATAACCTTCGCTCATGTTTTGTAGAACATCCCTACTGCTCATGTTTGAAGACAAATAGCTGCTTACTAACTAGTCAGCAAAGATATAAATGCCACGCAAAATGCCTATAAACATATAACACACATTACTTACTACTACAGTACTAAGTAAAGAAATATATGTTCATTCGTTGACAGACGATGTGATCAATTTCTTGGAAAACCTATGTGAAAAGCTGTATTATGGCTATTTGGCCAGGAACATATGTTATTTCTAACATCACCTACTCTCCCTGCATTTACAGGAAGGGCTTGCCCGGCTTGAAAGAAGCAAGAGATGGGACACTAGGGAGAGGAAGACAGCTCTCCAGAACCTGGAACAGTTCCAGGAGAAGGCAAAGAAGGAAAGGCTGCGGATCTGGCAGTACGGGGATGTTGAATCGGACGAGGACGAGCAGGCCCCAGCTGCAAGGAAGCCTGGAGGTCGTCGGTAGACTGGCTGCAGTCTGGCATGCTATGAAAGTTTTGGACAACCCAAAATGTGGGACTCTGCCGTGAGTTATAGATGAAAACTTAGACTGAGGGGGTACCTTATTTATTCGGTTAGAAAAGAGAACTTAGCGAGGCGAAACTTTCTCGGTTTGAGCACTTTTGATATTCCGTTTTTACACCGTAAGCTTATAAGGTTAAAGATACATTGTTTTTTCTCTGAACTCAATAAGGTCGTGTCTATGCGCTGCGGTTCTTTGTAGTCAGAATATAATATTGAGAAGTGCAGTGAATCAAAGTTAAGGATTGCATTTAATGATTCCAGTGCCCGTGCGGTGAGGATTTCTCTCATACGCATTTACTGATTGCATTGTTGATTGATAGCATTCTTCTCTGGCGAAATGGCCAGTATTTGCAGTACATACTTCGCCTGTGCTGGCGCTGTTGCTTGCGGCTACTCCCTCTGTTCGAGGTTAGTTCGGATGATTCTACATTGATCCGTCAATCGAAACACATCCTTAGTCAAACTTTAGATACTTTGATTAATGAAACCGTATCATTCTCATATTTTCATGACGGAGGTAGTACGTATTATAAAATGGATGTAGTAGTACGGTAATATGTTGCACGAGACTGAGTATAGAATTCGTAGTCGTAGCTTACATCGTTGATACAGAGCGCGCCAAGCGAGACTTGGGCCTTGCCTCCTGCTCGACCTCTACTTGCATCCGCAGCTGCTCGCGAAACCTCGGCCAGACCGTCAATGTCTAGCGCCGCCATGGCCTGAGGTGAGCGCTCCAGCTCCGGCGACCACCCTCCGTCCCTCCTTGTGACGACGGTCCCCGCCAGCATCTCCATTGCTTGCTTGGCGCCGACGCACGGTGACAGGCGCCGTTGGCGACGTCGATGTCGTCCTTTCACGGTCAGAACATTGACAGGGGTGGTCGTGCACGAGAACTCGTAGCTGCCCCTGAAGTAGTCGTCGTCCGCGGGTCGATGCGCGCCGACGGTAAGACCTTCCCAGAGCTCTCTCACGGCGCTCGACAGCTTCCCCATGGATAGTTGTCGATGCAGCTTCATTGTCTGAAGAACAGACGAACAGATGCAGTGGCAAATAAAGCAAGAAGAACAGAGACACTACTAGCTAGAGCATGCAAATGGCTTGCAAGCAGCAGGGCAGTGTAGTATTTGTAGGGTTTACGAGTCAAAAGCTTGGAGTGGAAGGCGGCGGAGCGGGAAAGTGTTGGAACATTAACGTGACAGGAACATATTGCTTGCAGATTATGTCCACCGTGCCAATTCATTGTTAATTCGTGGAAGCAGAGGAAGTTCCTTGGAGAAGGCTAACGTGACGAACATTATATTAAACGAGATCTAGTGTGTTCATTCTAAATTACAAGATGTTTTAGCTTTTTAAATACATAACTTTTGTTATGCATGCACTTGATATATATTATATCTAGATACATAATAAAAACAATGTATCTAGAAATTCAAAACATCTTATAATTTGGAAATGGAAGAAGTATTACTCAAATTACAACCATTTTTTTTAATGTCCTGAGCTCCATATGTGGCTCGATCAAATTGACACAATACAAAATTGGTATTGGTATATATAAAAGCAAATGCTATAGAAGTATAATTTGAGATGAATAAATATCAAAACTATATGAATCACAATGTCTGTATGATGTTTAAGAAAATTGGCTGAAGCCCTGTAACAGTTACTCCAATTAATTACAACACAAAACCTCACCATTACCATTTTGTATTTTTTACCATATCAGTTAGTTGTTTTTGAATATTTCTTATATCATTTAAGATATGAAACCTCATCATTTCCCTGTAACTTGCTCTTTAGTTTGTAACAACCAGTAGTTGCTTAATCGGCTCCTTTAGTCCTTTGCAGTTTGCACACCGCTTTGAGATGGTGATGAAGGGCAAGAGATTTGGGACACACTTCACTACTTCAGCCAGTCAGCAATATCAGTACTCAGAACACACGATGATGTTATGTTTTTTTTTATTTCTACCAATACAAGTCTCCTTCTCCACGTATTGACGTATACAGATATTTTTTCCCTTCATATACAACAGATACTGTCACCATCGAGCTGAACAAAGGCTCCGTTTTCTCCAGTAGCACACAATAGCTTCAGTGCGTTCACACTGTTCATTGGCCGACTAAGTTGTAGCTATGCGCGTAGAAATTCGCTTGCACTTTCTCTGCTGATGTGTGTATGTGTAGGTCGCACGGTGATCCTGAAAGGGACGACCGCCGTGAAAAAATAGTAACATGATGCAGTGAATAGTTTAGTTATTTAGATGCTGTCTTCCTAAAAAAAAAGTTATTTAGGTGCTGTCGGCACTGTAAATTGCTACGGTTCTTCTTTCTATATCTATAGAAAATTGTAATACCTACACTGCATGGAATCAACCGAAGTGCTCCTACCGTCCTACGTCTACACGCTTCAAGAAAACAGATGGCGCCCGCTGTTCAAGAGGTGCGCCGTTTGCACTGACAGCCATTTACAGAAGTACTTCTATGTAGGGATGAAAACGGTACCAAAATATCTCGTACCAAAACATATCGTTTTCTACATTTGATTCGATTAAATTCGTATTTTGGGACAAATTCGATTTCGGTTCAAAGTTCTAAACACGAAATTCGAAATCGATTTAGACAGTTTTCAACCTTTTCTACTTTTCCACTTTTAATTCGAAATATCTCGAATTCGAGGGGTATACTAGAGGTCCAGTTTTAGAAAAATTGTATCTTTTTCATACGAACTCGGATGAAGACGATTTCTATATGAAAATTGTAGCTCTCGACGAGATCTACACCTTTCTAATTTTTAGTTTTTCATTTAAAGTCTTTAAGATGTTAAAAAAATTAAACAAAATTTCAACAGTATATTATTCGTGTATAAGCGCTTGTTGCCTTAGAAAAATCATATCTTTATATGGTGTCAAATGGAGATATTTTTTATGAAAGTTGTAGGACTTATTAATTGTTATTCATTTGCTTATAGACTTGTTAATTGTTATGCACTTAGTCCTACGGGTCAATATTCCGTATTGATTTTTCGTATACCGACCATGTTCGACATAATTCCGCTCGAATTAGTTCGTTTTTGAAATTCTCAGTATTCCGTAAGTTCGTGTTTATTTTCGCGTCTAGCTTTACCGCTTTTGCTTTTGTTTTCGTATTAAAATATAGAAGTAGAAAACGGTTGAGAGATTTTTCGACCGTTTTCACCGTTTTCATCCCTACTTCTACATGATGGTGACATGTAGGGTAAATATGCAAGGGAGTTGTTTTCACTATATACGGAGAAATACTACTACGGATTTGTAGTAACAGGAGGCATTTCACTGTAGATGGCCTCCAAATTGAGGCGCCTCTAGAAATGCATTGGTAGAGGTGGCTGTTGTTTTCAGCCACCTCTAAAAATGTCTTTATTTTTAGAGGCGGCTCTATTTTTAGACGTATCTAGAAATCAATTTCTAAAGGCGGCTCTATTTTCAGCCACCTCTAAAAATCGAATGATCTCGGATAGAGAAACGACCAAAACGAAAATTGTAAATCTCAAAGAGTTATACAACTTTATAGTTGATAATTTTTTTATTTGAAATAATCTATCATCTATTCATGAAAAATTACATTTGAATTTCTCACATTTGAAACTTGAATTTTCAAATGACCTCCGATGAAGAAATGATCAAAACGAAAGTTGTAGACCTCGAAAAGTTATGCAACTTTATAGTTGATAGCTTTTCTATTTGAAATCATCTATGCATGGAAAATTACGCTTGAACTTCTCACATTTGAAATTCGATTTTTTCAAACAACCTCAGATGGAGAAACGACCAAAACAAAAGTTGTAGATCTCGAAAAGTTATGCAACTTTATAGTTGACAACTTTTTTATTCAAATTCGTTAGGGTCTCAAATACTCATTTGAAAACTGGGCGAAGATAAAAATGACGAGAATGAATATCCCATTTGGACACAAGTGTTGTATGGGTGGAGTGGATAGGGGACAAATGCGCGAAGCCACTGGTCGGGGGTTCGAGTGCCGGAGGCCACGCAGCTGCAAATAATCAGAATTTATAATCACACTTTATTATGAGCGCGCCTGTGTAGCCCCCTATGGGGTCTCCCGAGATTTAAAAATAAATTTTGCTATTGTTTTGGATTTTCCCTATTTTTTGGGGCCAAATTTGTAATTTCTAAACAATAATTTGTAGAGGCGGCTCAAAATGCAACCACCTCTACAAATCAATTTCTAGAGGCAGCTCATGTTTTCAGCCGCCTTTAGAAATATGATTTTTAGAGGTAGCTAGAGAACCACCACTATAAATTGCTGATTTGTAGAGACGGAATAGGAGAGTCGAATCCTCTTCTTTCAATTCCGGTCTAGACAAAGGGATAGGATAGGCCTTTTGAGTGATAGATGAAAGAAATAGCGTATCTGGTCAAGCGAGGAACTACTAATGTTTCGAGCAAGAAAGGAGGAAGATCAAGAATCTGACCACTAGCAAGGTGTAGGGTCGAGATGGCGACTAGATGGGGTGTGAATAGTCGTTACTAAAACTTAATCGCACCAGCTAACCGAAACAAGTGCAGAATTAAATCTATCGGTCTAGCCAAGACTACACCCTCTATCTATGTTCTCTAGCACCTTGCAAAGATCATAATTAAGCAATTAAGGTGTTGGGCTAGCTAGAGCTCACCTAACCAATTCTAGAAGTAAGATCACACAAACCTATGCCACTAGTATTTTAAGCAACGAGAGAGCTCCTACACATGCTAGTAAGCAAAAACACAAAGCTCCTAAGCTCACTAGCAATACTTAATAACAAGGCAGCCAATGCCAAATTAGAGAGTACAAATACTTAGCTACACAAACTAAGTAATGTGACTAACAAGGTTACACAAACCAAATTAGCCACGCAAGGGAGCTACTTCTATACTACACAAGCAAGAAGGTAACTAGTGAGCTACACAAGCTAACTAATTACAAAAGCAACTATACAAGCACAATGTATATGAAAGTAATTACAAGCTTGTGTAACGAGGATGTAAACCAACGGGAATACAAGGATGACACGATGATTTTTTTCTCGAGGTTCACGTGCTTGCCAACACGCTAGTCCCCGTTGAGACAAGCTCCAAGGTTGCCGCCGGTCCTCTTGCTAGTGGTGACCCTCAAGTCACACTCTCCCACGTGGAGTACTTACCATAAGCTCTAGCACTTGACCCAGCCGGACCACTTGTCTCCCTTCGCGTCTCGCTTTACTAGAGTTGCTCTTCACGGCGGCTCCCGCGGGGCGAGCACAATGCCCCTCACAAAGCTCTTCTCCGGAGCACCGTACAAGCTTCTTGCGGGCTTCGACGTAGACCACCACCAAGCCATCTAGGAGGTGGCAACCTCCAAGAGTAACAAGCACCACCAGCTTACAACTCGATCACCTAGTGCCACTCGATGTAACCTCACGATGCAATCGCACTAGAATCGCTCTCTCACACACAATCGAATGATTACTATCAAACATATGTGAGATGGAGGGCTCCCAAGCACTCTCAAGCATGGACACTAAGTCCCCCAAGGTGCTCAGCTCCAACCATGGCCGAAACCACATTCTATTTATAGCCCCCATGAAAATAGAGCCATTGTACCCCTTCACTGTGCACAGCTTGGGGCAACTAGACGCTCTGAACGTATTGACTGGACGTAGGACCCCAGCGTCCGGTCACGCGATGCACGCCACATGGCACCTGCTTCAAATACTGATCGCCCGATCTCAACGGTCATCAGTATACTTAAGTTGTGACCGAGCACACTACAGTGTACGACCGGGCATAGGACCCCAGCGTCCGGTCACTTCTAGTAAGGTTCCAGTTGCGACCGGACGCGTCCGGTCACGTCCGACCGGACTCGCCCAGCATCTGGTCACTCACCTTCTTCTCTGTTCGCTGCCACATCAGCAGCACTAGACATTGAATAGTGTTCAGCCAGAGTCCGGTCGCCTGCGTCCGGTCAAGAGACCGATGGCGGCCTTCACTGCGTGCCACTAACCAGACATAGGACCCAGCGTCTGGTCACTTCATGACCAGCGTCTAGTGTACTCTTTGAAACCCTATCTTTTCTGTACAGGGCGCTGGTGGCACCGTCGGACTGTCCGCAGGCGGTGAAGTTTCAAACCCTTGCTCCCAAGTGCTAAACAAATGTGTATCACCTTTCACCTCCGTTTCTTCACCGAGTTGATCAACATCAACTCCAACTTCTTCTCCTTTGCAAATGTGCCAACGCCACCAAGTGTACACCACCATGTGTATGTGTGTTAGCTTTTCACAAACATTTTCCAAAGGATTAGCCACTCAACTTGCCACGCCACTCGATCCTAGCGATGATGCAAAGTTAGATCACTCGAGTGGCACTAGATGACCGATATGCAAACAAGTTTGCCCCTCTTGATAGTACGGCCATCTATCCTAAACCCGGTCATCAACTTCTCTACACACTTATGACCGGTGAAATGAAATGCCCTAGGTTATACCTTTGCCATACGCATTCCATTCCATCTCCTCCAATGTCAATGCAACACATGCACCAACACGATCAACAATGATATGATCCACTTCATATCATCACGTGATCATATTGGTTCATCAATCTTGAGTTCACTTGCTTTTCACCGTTGCTTTCGTCCATTGGCGCCAAGTCTCGCTCAAGCTTCACCGCTACGCGGTCCATCGCTCCAAAGCCTTCGACTTGCCCTTCATGCTTACAACCAGTCCATCAAGCCAATTCATGTCTTGATCTTCTCCACCTTGATCACATGACTCAATGTCATGTCTCATGTGCAATAAGCTCCTTCATCATCACATGTGTGAGCTTTGCAACATCTCCAAGCCATTTCCACCTTCATGGCATATGTTGCTCACACACATGTACCTGTGGACTAATCACCTGTGTATCTCATATAAACACAATTAGTCCACCTAGGTTGTCACTCAATTACCAAAACCAAACAAGGACCTTTCACAAGGGAAAGAGAAAGATTGCATTACTTGAATCCAAAAGTACTGTTAGATTAGGTAGGTAAGGAACATCAAAATGTCAGTCTGGCAAGTCCTGTCCCAGATTTGGCTTTGGATAGGATAGGCCTTTCAGTGATAGATGAAAGAAATAGCGTATCTGGTCAAGTGAGGAACTACTAATGTTTTGAGCAAGAAAGGAGGAAGATCGAGAATCTGACCACTGGCAAGGGAAAGAGAAAGATTGCATTACTAGAATAAAAAAGTACTGTTAGGTTAGGTAGGTAAGGAACATCAAGATGTCAGTCTAGCAAGTCCCGTCCTGGATTTGGCTTTCGGCTAGTTGAGATGAAGGCCTTTACAGCTATAGTGTCAATCTCAAGCAAAGCAATGAAACCATTAGGAACAACTGCCCCATTTGATTCTAGTCCATCTTAGCCTACCCTACCTAGTCAGAGGGCTTCCTTCACAGTAGACCATTTCACTTATGGAATTGGGTTTGAATCAGAATCTCTTCTCTCTGTAGACCAAGCTGTAGTAGTGGAAAAACACCATTGACGGTATCTGTCTTCGCAAACTATGGGATTATTCTATTACTATTACAAATGGTTTGTGACTTGGTACCGTACTTTGACAGAGAGTTGCGATGGCTCCATACAAGAGATGTCTCCCGTAAATGAGATGATTTCTTCAACCAGGCATAACAAGTCTTAATACGTTCAACCGGTCACATGCTCCACTAAGCTCATGTTCACCCCCATTTCACCATACCTACACAAGAGGGGACAAGAAATCATAATCTTGGATCTTGAAGGGTTAGCAAGCATGTACTTGGGAATCCAAGATTTGGTCACACGGTTAAAGGAAGCACTCAACTTATCATGTGGGTTAGCATGATGCAATTTGAAATATCTTTGGAAGCATTCCTCAAAAGGACAACTCGAGAAGAAGAAGGATGAGTGGTACCACTGGTAAAGAGGCAATGATCTCCGAAGAGTACTGTGAAGTTACCACAAGAGATCTTGACCAAAAGCTCAAATCTTGGTCAAGAATTTCAATTGTTCTCTCTCACATTGGGGTTTACACAATATTCTTGAAAAAAGGGGTTTTGAGGGTTGATGGGGATGGGTTCCCGATCTTCTGTCAGGTGATGATAAATATCATTTTGGTGGAGCACGACACACCGATCTGGCTTCAGATCAAAAGACACGAACCCTGCAATCTTAGCACCATGACTCATGGTTATCAACTATGTCACTAATCTGGTTGATCTCGACAAGATGGCTAATTTCTGCATGCAAAATGAAGAACACAAGCAAGAACTCGAAAGTACGCAACTCAGTTGAAGGTGACAAATTGTTGATGTATGATTAAGATTGCGAAAGTGGGGTTTCACAACCGAAGACGGCGACTGTTCGAAGAAAGGTTGTTCTAAAACAAAAACCCAAACCCTAACGAGGGCGGCGGCTACTGAATATAGGGTCTAAGGGTCGTCACACCCCCTGGACGTGCACCCTACGGGATCAAAGACGATTCACGCCCAACGGACCAAAGACGGTGATGCAGCACCCTGACAACTTCTGCATGTTGACTTGTTTCAATGATTCTCGTTGACTCCTGTGGAATTTGGACCTCAAAATAAATCCATTAGTTAGCTTATAAAATTAGCTTTCCATCTATATGTGGATCATCATAAATAGAGTCTGGATGCCCCTTGGACGTCTATTTTACTACAGATTGGTCTTGAAGGCCGAGGCAGACTCAAACTCGAGTTAGACTGGACCTCCAGGTTGTGTTGGACATCTTTGCTAGTCTTCTTCATGTCCAAACCTTTCTTCAAGTACTTCATGACCCTCTCCAATGTTCGTAAGCAAGATAACATCATTAGGTAGTAATCTATTTTTAAAACTATGAAAAGAATTGCTTAAGAACGAGCCCACCACTAAATTTAATTGTCGCATTCGGACTATCCAAAAAATGACCGCGCGGAGAGTTTATGACCAATTGCATGAATTTGATCTTTTGTATTACTTCACCATGTGTGGTTACAAGCCACTCCTAGCAGATCACAAAGCTTGGATAGCAAAAATCTCAATCAAAGAGCCTCTTCTCTCTCTCCCCCTCTCTCTCTAAGTCTAAGCAAAACTCTCAACCTCACGAGTGAGAGCCTAAACCCCAAAGGCATGGCCTCACAACTAGCCATCTCCTGTTTATATAGGCACTTGGGTATTTCCCAAGTTGCCCTTACATGAAGTACTCGACCCAAACATCCCGAGAGGTAAAACCGTCCAAGTTTTTCTTTGTTGATCCAACGGACTCATCGCTTTCTCGACATTGCTTCGCCTCAATGCAAGCTTCAAGATGCCAACACATGTCTGTCGATTTGCCACTCACCGGTTTTGAGGCCTAAACCAGTCAAACACGCCGCCAATGGTTTGGACACCCAAACCACAAAATTATCTACGCCTAGTTTTGAAAACCAAACCAGCAAACCTTCCTGCACACCTTGCTAGATGTGACTAACCTATCTCGACGCATGTCCCGGCCACCATGTCCTTGTCCTGGTAGCCCACCAAATGCTCACGACGCCTCGCCGTGACTTGGTTAAAACCCTATACTTCACTATGGTAACATTGTCTCCATCACCCATGTACACTTGCTATTCATGTGCCCAATGTGAGCCGCACACGGCCCGTTCTCTGGCCTCTTGTTCCTCGGTCAAGCCTTCTGGCCTACCCTTCACTGCTCCCGAGTTCATTGCACACGAACTCCTTGCTTGACCTTATTCATTGCCATCGACCATCTTGGCGCACTTAGCACCTACACATTCACAAGCCAAGAGACATGTTGCATGACACACTCAACACAATACAACACAACATGACACCTCCGAGTAGCCATTAGCACATAATCAAGCACATTGGGCAAACTTGAATTAATGGTCAAACTTGAGATGCTTTGATTGTTAAAGAAAGTTGGAATGACTTGTAATTTGGGATGGAGCGAATATATTTTAGAAAACATAGCTAGTTTGTAGCATTTGAAAATGAGTAGAACTGATTTTTTATTGCACAGGAAAATGTGCGTACGGATATATTACACCCGGTTGCTACTCAATTAGTACGACATTACATATATCTGGAACATATGTTGTGTCAAACTCACTCTCCGTACATCAAAATGTACAGATCATCACACAACCGCGCCGCGCGCATACTCGAGAAGTGAAGGCTCCTCCAATCCACGTCACAACGATCTCGCAAGATCAACATCACTCTATGCGGCTAGGTACGCCATAAATAAATATAATCATGGTGAGTAATGGAAAACCGCGGCAAAGTTCTGCGCCCTGAGCTGCTCGTAGAACATGTTGATGAACTCCTCCGCCCTGTCGTCCACGTCAAGAAGGTCACCGCACTGCAGCCAACCACCGTCGTCCTCGGCTGCTCGTACCTGATCATCATCTTCTTCCTCGTCCTCCGTCGTTTCCAGCTGATCCTCCTCCTCTTCCGCAGCCTCTGTCTCAGATGCCACCGTCTCGTCGCCGCCGGGCGAACCGAACGGAGCTCGGAACGAGCCGAAGCAGGAAGACACAGCCCCTGCCGCTGAGGACGCGGCGCCACTGCCTTTCAGCCGTGACCGCAGCAGCAGCCTCTTCGCCGCGAGGAACGCGGAGCTGGGGCTGTCGGCGCACGAGAACTCGTGCTCCATCAGCGCGCGAGGCCACGGGTGGTGGCTCTTGCTGCGCTCACCGCCATGGCGGTGGACGAGCGCCAGCGTTCTCCGCGCCACCTTGTGCATGAGCCGGCGCCGCTTGATGAAGAGGTACTTGAGGTAGTCGCCAGCCAGGGCGAGGAGGTAGCGCAGCCGCCTGCTCGCGGAGGAGCCGGAGTGCCGGCGCGGATTCTCCATGCGGCGGGCCTAGCTTCTTGCGAGACACATGCAACGTGCAGTGTGACTGCTGCTAGGTTTTTTACACGAGCCTACTACATGTAATGTGTGGTGGACTGGTGGTGTGATAACTTGAGGAATCTATGTCCTGGGGCTGTACTTGGTCAAGCCGATGTGCTTTTATAGCTAAGCTGCGGTGGTAGCAGCCACAAATATAGGCAGAGAGTATTGAGACGAAAGTCATAGGTGACACAAGGGAGAGTTGCATGATTTCGGGGCAAGAAAACGTTTTGGTGAATCAGAGAAGCAAGCTGTGCGAGCTAGCTGGCCGGCCGCAAGCTATGTATGGTACGGTGTGTGCAACTTGCTTCTTTGTGATGGTGCATGACACGCGGGCTCACATTGGCCTTCTTCATGCATCCAGTTCGTTCCATCTCAAATTATACAGAAATTGGGACTAGCTAAAGATCAAGACTTTGTGTGGTGTAAATGCTGAAAACGTCGTCTCTAGCTAATATTCTAACTAGGCTTAACTATACTACTACGTCAAATAAAAAATAAGTGACATATTTTGGATCAATGATACAAGTTTCACTATTAATTTTTAATTCTTATATATTCATAAAGGGCGTACCCAGTGTAGAGAGCTCCCGCTCTGTGCGGGGTCTGGGGAAGGGTGTTAGTGGCAAGCCTTACTCTCGCCTGTGCAATGCGAGGAGACCGCGACTCGAACCCGGGACCTTCCGGTCACAGGCGGTAAGACTCTACAGCTTGCACCAGACCCGCACTTCTTATATATTCATAAATAAAACATAAAATTATGAATTACCTTTTTTCACAAATACAGTCACCTTATTGTCAAAGTAATTTACTTTGTAACAAAAGATTGAAATGGTGTGACTATAGTTAACAACGTACAAGTACCAAATAAATCAAATAAGTCTAAGGAGTTATTTTCTTTCTATGTTTGACTTAGTAGTTGCTAATGTATATATGATTGAACAGATATATCTAGTAGTCTATAACAAAAACAAGGGTAATTAAAATAAGACAAATAATTCAATTAGCGGACTGGTGTAATGGTTTTGTACTCTCCGGCCGGGAAAGTAAATTAAAACAGGGAAACTAAGAACTAGGTCGACGCAACACGGTCGATTTCCTTTCAAGAGAAAATATCGAAAAAATAGCGGATCTTGGCCATCACGATTACGAGTATGTACCACAACAGCATCAATTTTCATGACCACGCAAAGCACACACTTGGCAGTATGCATGCATGCTTGGCAAAAAGAATATAATTGATCTAGACATTCTAGATGGCCCACAGCTAGAGCTAGAGCTAGCAAGAGCCAGGCAGGGCCCATTTGCATGACCTCGTCGTAGTTACTTGAGGAGAAGAAGCTGGAGAACGGCCCGAAGACCGGGGTCCGGGGGCCTCCGAATCGCGTCGCGCTTACCACGACAGCTGTTCCGCGCGGACCGGCGCTAAGCACGCAATCACGGCGGCAGCTTTAACCGGATCGATCGCGCGCGTCGCTTTACCCTTGCTTCGTTTCACCGCAACCCAACAAAAAGCTAATACTCCGCGTTCATTTAACAGTACTAAATCAAATCACTACTACTACTATAGCTAACCGCGTATCTGCCACTTCTAGTTCTAGCTCGGCCTTACTCCGCGTTCTCGATCCAACTGATCGATCCATCGGCAGGACGGCAGCTCGATATATCATTCCAATTCACATGCATGATATGCATGCAGTGTGTGCGAGTCCAGCTTTGTTGTAACTATCATATTTTAACTTGGATAACCGTCTTGTAACTCGGAGTAACATACATATAGATATGCGCATCTTGGCAATGGTTTCAGGGAAAAAGAAGTTGAAACAAGCTTTGTTGGTGGCTCTCTAGCTACGTGTTGTCTGCGGTCTGCAAGCTAAGACTAACTACTGGAAACGTGAATTGTCCTATGGGCGAATAATTTTTCTATGTATTTTTTCAATACACACATGGAAATTAGTCATTAATGTGCCGGTTTCAAAAATCCCAAAAGAAAAAATACAAAAACTCATAGGAAAATTCACTTATTTTTGCACACACAGGGCAATTCATGTTTCCAGTAGTGGAACATGCACCTTGGTCATCATAGAGTATGTCCAAGAACCTTTCTTAAACTCACTCTTTAAACCATTAAAAACCGATCTCTATATCTTTCTAGTCTCTGTGGGGGTATAACCCCCGATACCAGCAGGGCTATACATGGGCCGAGCCGCTAGGGGTGGTCCAGCCCACAAGACGGCGCATGGGCCACGCCACCAGTGGAGGCCCAGCCTATAAGACGACGCCGTGCGAAGCACGACATAGGTCGGCGTGCCTCGCAAGACCGTGTGAAGATCTTCGGTGATCTACGAAACCTGCTCGGATATGCTAGATCCCGTAATATCTGTAACTTCTGATCTTGTAAAACCGATCAGGATAGAAACAACCGATCTGTAACCCTACCCTCGGGCTATATAAGGCAGGTAGGGACCTCCTTGTTTTTATCTAATCTCTCATAATATAATCCACAAAGACATAGGACGTAGGGTATTACGTCAAGCTGATGGCCTGAACCTGTCTAATCGCTGTCTCTTGCGTTCTGGGTCATCGGCCCCGACGACAATGGGGAGATCGTGGAGGCGGTGCAGGATCACCCTGCGCCGATCGCGCCAACACCTGCAACGACATCTCCGATCCCGACGCCTCGCCACTGGGTTAGGAGATCCATCAGCAATGATGATCTGATTGCACCCATCGATTGGGTCACAGACCGCTTTGCGGAATGTCAGCTCCTCGTGGATTCAGTCTTAGATCAATCTAGAGCGAGCGACGAATTTCCCGTACTTCAACATCACCAAGCCGCTACAACCGAGCGACCTGCTCGGCCACATCGTTCAAGGCGGTTAGATTATGATCTAGTGATCATGGCTACTCTAGAAGGGTGCACGGCGCGAGCGCCGACCACTTCCCGCTACCGGCCTACGTTTGGCCGACTACGAAGCCCCGATCGAGGACCCGCCGAAGCCCTATCCCTTTGGGCTGGAGGGTACAGGATCTGCGTACAAGAATGCCATCCACCACCTCTTTGTCGACCATGTCGAGCACGACCACGTCATCGACCTCTACATGATCGACCTGACTAACTTCGGTCAGCCCGCGCCCGTGGTCAACATGGTGGCTGTTTGCTAGCTTTCGGATGAACCCTCTCTTCCAACCGAATCTCTCCACAACGTTCTGAATGAGAGCCCCGATGATTATTCAGAGGGCTCAACCAACACCATATCAAGCTTCCCTTCTTTCCCTCCGGGGTTCGGGGGCATGATTTTCCATGTCAGCCACGACAACGTCACCAAGGATGGTGAAACCGCTGAAGAGCGCGAAGGTCGTCTAGCGAAGAACGCCGATCGCGGTCGCCAAGATGCTGAAGCAGCCTAAGGGGCCGACGAGGATGGTCGTGGTCCGCCCCATCATCAACGTAATCTGGAGGAGGCATTTGACATGGTGGGCGACCAACCAGTCTACCAGACTCCAAGCGCCAATCTAGTCGTCGCTTTCAACGAGCTCGACAAACTCCCTCACACTCTAGAGGTCGAGAAGGTCCGAGCACATATCATAGTAGCGCAAGTCCAAGTCAACGAGTTCCGGAATGACGCCCCATCTTATTCCACCGCATCAGCTCGTAGCCGCCGCTCCCGCCACAACGGAGGAGGCTAGCATCACGGTGCCGAGGGCCCCTGACCTCAGGCTAGAGGTCCTTACCTCTATAGAGGATCTAGAGGCAACTACGAAGCTCATTCACACCACGATGGCCGCCCACCGGGCCCCCAAGGAGGTCGGGGCGACAACCTCAACCAGGACATCAATCAACCCCTCCCTCGTGACCTTCATGACCACATCAACGCCGGCACAGATGTCCGCAACCGCATAAAAAACAGTAGGTCCGCACACTACGAAGCAGAGATGGAGCGTCACCGGCAATTCGACGCCGAACATGAAGGATTTGCTGCCTATCAAGCGCCACTTCCCGCCAGCGCATCAGGACTTCGCCCCTTCACAGAAAGGCTCCAAGCCGTCCGGTGGCCTGTGGGTTTCAAGGTTCTTGGTGTTAACACCTATGACGGAAAGGCCAACCTCGCTCAGTGGCTAACTCTATACGAGATCACCGTGAGAGCCACAGGCAGAGACGAAGACGTCATGCAAACTATCTACCCATCATGCTTAACCAGTCTACGAACAACTGGCTCCTCAGCCTGTGGGAGAATTCCATCTAATCTTGGGATGACCTCAAGAAAGTCTTCACCGACAATTACATGGCTATGTGCAAGCAGCCCAGCACCAAGTATGACCTGGAGAAGCTTCATCAATCCTCCGGGGAGTCCCCGCATGACTTCATCAGGTGTTTCTCGGAGACAAGAAATTTCGTTCCCAACATCACTGACGCCGAGGCCATGGCCGCTTGCACCAAAGGACTCCGGCATGAGCAACTCTGAGGCAAGCTGTAGCACAAGAGGCCCACAACCATCGGTGAACTGATACAAACAGCAAATGGGTATGCTGACACCGAAGAAGCCGAACGGGCTGCCCGCTCCACTCACCACCAATGCCACGACAATGACCGTCATGAAGACAGGCGCTACGACGACCATGACCACCGCTGTGATGACCAAGACCGCCGCGACGACCACGACCACCGCTAAGATGACCGCGATCCCCGGCGTGACAATCACCCGGATAGCTCAAGAAGCAAACAAGGCCACATTCACCGCCTGATAACTCCATCAACACCCGTGCCAAGCGCACCTAGAATGCTGATTTTGGCAAGCTGCTAGACGGCTCATGCCCTATCCACAAAGATGCCAAGCACACCATGCGAGAGTGCAGAGGCCTAAAGACAGCGCTCGGTGGTGAATCATCAAAGAAACCATGGCGTGACGACGATGAGACCAAAGATGGTCAAGGCAGAGAATGAGGCAAGAACAAGGGCCCAACCTACCAGGACCCCACCAAGACCGTCGCCACCATCTTTGGTGGGAGAGCTATCTCTGAAGACAAGGAGCAGAAGCTTGTAGCCCGATGTGTCATGTTGGTCGCTACATATGATGGCCCCATCACTGATCCCAAGTACCTCGACTGGTCAGAGCACCCAATCACCTTCTCCAGGGCCGACCAGTGGTCAAATATCCCATTCCCAAGGTGTTTCCCACTCGTCCTGGATCCCTTCATCAAGGACGTGCGCTTCTAGAAGGTCCTCATCGATGGAGGGAGCACCCTCAACATCCTGTTCGCTGGGTCCCTAGAGGACCTAGGGATCAAGAAAGAAGACCTTACCCCCATGGATTGTTCGTTCTAGGGGATCGTTCCTGGAAAAGCGCCCCTGCCTCTAGGGTAGATTACACTGCTGGTACAATTCAGCACCACTAAGCATTTCCGCGTCGACTACGTCAACTTGCTGGTTGCCGACTTCAACATGGCGTACCATGCCATCCTTGGCCGACCAGGTCTCACCAAGTTTATGGCCGTGCCACACTACACATACTTGGTGTTGAAGATGCCGATGGAGCAGGGGGTCCTCTCCCTAAGCGCCAACCTCGACGTCGCCTACTCCTGCAAGAAGGAAAGCTTCATGCTCGCTGAGGCTATGGACATCTCCATCCGCATGCAAGACTACCTTGCATCTTCGCAGCATATTTCCCCGTAGGACCTAGAGATCCCAATCATGGAGGCCACCCGAGCGTCAACCAAGTCCAAGGAGGTGAATGAAGTGGTCCCGGTCCCCGGTGACCAGTCAAAGATTGCTCGGATCAGGGCTGACCTCTATCCCAAATAGGAAGACATGCTCGTCAGCTTCCTAAGGGAGCATGTTGATGTGTTCGCATGGAAACCAGCGGACATGCCTGGCGTGCCTCGGGAGCTGATCGAGCACTCCTTAAATGTCTCGGTGACCGCCAAGCCGATCAAGCAAAAGCTTCGATGATTCATGTAGGACAAAAAGGAGGCCATTAGGGTTGAAATAATCCAGCTCTTAGCTGCCGGCTTTATCAAAGAGGTGTATCATCTGGAGTGGTTAGCCGACCCGGTTCTTATAAGAAAAAAGAATAAAGAATCTAGAATGTGCGTTGATTACACCGATCTCAACAAACACTGCCCTAAAGACCCCTTTGGCTTACCTCGCATTGACGAGATCATAGATTCTATAGCCAGTTGTGAGCTCCTATACTTTTTAGATTGCTACTCTGGTTATCACTAGATCATGCTAAAGGAAGAAGACTAGATTAAGACATCGTTCATTACGCCCTTCGACGCCTACTGCTACATGACCATGTCCTTTGGGCTCAAGATCGCGGGTGCAACTTATCAAAGAGCCATCCAGCGCTGCCTCAAGGACCAAATTGGGAAGAACATCGAGGCATACGTCGATGACATGGTGGTTAAGTCTAAGACTACCGACA